ATTTAAAAATAAAAATTTTTAATTTAAGAAATAATTAAGAAAGAGGGATGTCAAGCGGATTCTAAATTACGATTTTTGAACATAAAAGTGGCTATAACTCGGAAACGGCTCATTTCCGGACCTATGTTTGTATGAACTTTTTTGCTTGTTTTTGGATCCCGAATCACCTCCCGAAGTGGAGTAGGCGATTTTTCGGACACCCTGTATATATATATATATATATATATATATATATATTTCAAAAATAAAATTTAAAAAAAATCTACTTTATACGAATACTTTTTGCATTCACTGGACACTCACTGAACTACACATTAGAAAATAAAATCAATTAAGTGTTTGTTTTGCAAAATAGTACTTAAATTACTTTCTTTTATTTATTTATTACGATGTAATAGCTATTTAGTTTTAGCTTCTTCCATTGTATGTAGGTATTATTTTTTAGGTTGCTAAAGGTAGGCCACCCATAGTAGGCTATGTTCTATATAGTCTTGCACCTTGGCTGAAGGATTACGTCGGTGGCCCAAGTTATCCGACTGTTCGAACCCACCATGCATCCATTGCGAAACCTGAAAGTTTGTGGCTGAGGACATGGAATGCTCTATATTTTATTGTCGATGATCTCATAAGATATTACTATTACTTCCCTATTATTCAACGACTTACTGAGGAATATGTAGGCCATGCAATCAGGCCATTACATGAAATAGAAAAAGACAGAATTAACATAGTACTAATTAATAGTCATCCTGCGTTCGAGCCTGCGATTCCATTGCCGCCAAACACCCTGGAGATCGCAGGTCTAAATGTCCAAGCCGTGCAACCAATTGCCGGCGAGATAATTGTGACGTATTCTGAGGTAAGAGAAATTATACTTTTTGAGAAACACAATTTAACAAAAAATGGAATTAGAATATTATAGGAATAGAAACTGTGTATACTGAAATGTTATAATTTTAACGAAACTCTGTCGTGTGTTTAACGGTCAAATTATTATCTAGATTTTATCTGTATTCGAAGATTCTCGAATTAGGATTTATCATTCCTTCTTGTGTGGCACAGATATTTCTGTTTCATTCAGGATATTGTAACAAATACTAGCTATATTTTGAGACAGGGCCTATTCTTTTCAATAACTTACTTTAATAATTTATATGAATAGAGCCAACACCTAACGCGGTCGGGTCCATGACTGTTAGGGCTCAGAAAATTTAAATCTTTGTTACAGTATTAACATTTACGTATTTGTAGTCAAAGATGGGCGCCAACTAATTTCACGAAAATTAGAAACGTTAAATAAGATTATAATTGAATGGAACTCAGGGGTGGGAAGTTGGAAGGACCCATTATTTAATTTAACCGACTGAAAACTAAAATTCACTTACTTACGTTCTCAAATGAACAAATTAGGTCAGTTGACTATTTCTGCTTGCTCCTTTAAACGTGAATATTCCTTGAAAATATATCGACTTCGTATATGGAACAGGAGCTCAGCAGTACGGAATAAGAAGAGCGTTATCGAAACCAATATATATTTACTAGTTACTTTGCAGACATCGTTGGTACAATATCAATATTCGATTTACAAGTTACTCCGCAGACATCGTTGGTACAATATCAATATTCGATTTACAAGTTACTTCGCCGACACCCAATATTAATAATCGACTTATTCACGCGACGTTCAGACTAAGAGTGATCGGTCTCGTTTTTCGCCGGCAACTCCTTGCGGTCCGGGAGAGCAAGGGGGAGTCGCCACAGGCCGACGTTCATTGGCTGTCGGACGATGTGTAGTTACCGGCACAGCCGTCGAGGCCTGTTCGGTAGTAATATTGGACCTAGCGTTAAGTTGCCTTATTTAACGCGAAAATGTGGACTGCAGGACGTTGGGCGCAGAACATCCTGTTACAATTTTAATTAGCAAAACTGTGACTAAATTATTAGATCTAGCAAAATCTGTAATTTTGCTTGTATTAAATCAATATAATAACAATAATATTGTATAACAATTTTATGTATAATAATTGTGATAAGCTCAAATGATTAGAAATCTATCTATATATATAAAGGAAGATGTCCTGACTGACTGACTGACTGACTGACTGACTGACTGACTGACTGACTCATCAACGCCCAGGCCAAACCCCTGAACCTAGAGACTTGAAATTTGGAGGGTGTATTCCTCTCATGACGTAAGCATCCACTAAGAAAGGATTTTTAGAAATTCCACCCCTAAGGGTGAAAGGGGGTAAAATGTGTTTTTTTCACGATTGTTCTGACTGACTGACTGACTGACTGACTGACTCATCAACGCCCAGCCCAAACCCCTGAACCAAATTTTTACCAAAAGTATATGAAATAGGGATAGAATTTTCCGGGGAGTGCCACTATGTGTATAATTTTTTGTTACCGATTTTCTAGAAACCGATTTTTTTAATTTTTCCTATTTTTTGAAAAATAATTGATCAAATCTCAACAAATTATAGATCAAACAGGGGTAGAATTTTCCGAGGAGTATTATGAAGTGTATAATTTTTTGTTACCGATTTTTTGGAAGCCGGTATCGAAATTTTTTAAAATAATTTTTACCAAAAGTATATGCAATAGGGGTAGAATTTTCAGGGGAGTGCCACTATGTGTATAGTTTTTTGTTACCAATTTTCTGGAAACCGGTTTTTCTAATTTTTCTAATTTTTCGGGAAATAATTCACCGAATTTCAAAGAATTGTAGATCAAACAGGGGTAGAATTTTCCGGGAAGTGCTATGAAGTGTATAATTTTTCGTTACCGATCTTTTGGAAGCCGGTATCGAAATTTTTTCAATCTTTCGGGAATTAATTGACCGAATCTGAAAGAATTGTATATAAAGTAGGGGTAGAATTTTACGGCGAGCGCCATAATGTGTACAGTTTTTGCTACCGATCTTTTTGGAAATCGGTTTTTTTAATTCTTTCAATTTTTCGGAAAATAATTGATTAAATGTCAAAGAATTATACATGAAGTAGGGGTAGAATTTCCTGGGGAGTGCTATAAAGTGTACTATTTTTTATTACCGATCTTTTTAAAAACCGGTTTCGAATGACCGAATCTCAAAGAATTGTACATAAAGTAGGGGTTGAATTTCCTGGGGAGTGCTATCAAGTATATAATTTTTTGTTATCGATCTTTTTGGAAAGCGGTATCAGAAGTTTGACGAATTTTCGGGAAATAATTAATCGAATTTTAAAGAATTGTATTTAGAGAGAGAGAGAGAGAGAGAGAGAGAGAGAGAGAGAGAGAGAGAGA